CGGGTCGCCGCGCGCCGCCGCTCCCGTCCCGCCGGCGGGGCATGCCGCGGTCGCCCGGCGCCCAACGAAATTGGCGGTGCCCGCGGCCGGGCCGCGCCGTCCCGCCGGTTCGATGCCGCGGGCTAACCCCACAGGCAGTGCGCTGCACGCTGCCTTCCGCCGGTACCAGGATTTGTCCGCTACCGCAGACGGCTCCTGAGGGACAGCTGCCTCTCCCCCGGGGCGCGCTTCCCACCCGAGGAGACGGGGGGCCGGCGGTCTCCGGACCGCGCAGCTTGCGCCCCGCGAGGCTCCGCGCCCCTGCCCGCGGAGCCCATGGGCGGCCGGAGCCTGCGCGGCCGGATTTCGTTTGCGGGCCGGCGGGGCGCGTGGCGGCGGGTCCCGCGCGGTTCCCCTCCCGCCCCGCTGGCTCGTGGGCCGCGGAGCCGAGGAGGGCGGCTGCCCGCGGGAATTCTGTCCCACGGCTCCGGGGGTGCGCCGCAAGTATCCCCCGCAACCGTTGCGCTCGTGACCCTCCGCGGCAGCGGGTAGCGCCCCGGTAACCCGGGGCAGCGACGGGGCGAGGAGGGGGGACAAGGGGCAAAGAGACAAAAGAGCCGCGAGTAGCAAATAAATATATTTTACGGCCACCCATCGGCAGCACCGCGGCCCCGCGAGCCTCTGCCCCGGCGCTGAACTTTCACCAGTGCCCCCGGCGGGGCTGGCCGGCGGCCCCGGGAGCGAGCGGCGCGGGGCGCGGCGGGCAGGCGGTCTGCCACTTGCCTGCAGCAGCGAGTGGCAAAGTTTGTGGGATTTTTAATTGTGCTTAATAAATGCGGTGACTGTTAATTCTGAGTGACAGTCACTTGTGATCCTGGCTCTCGGCGCGTACAGAGAGCCCTGCTAACGCTGGGGCTGCCGGGCGATAATTAGGTGGGCTCCGAAATAACAAACCCCACGTTCCGCTCGGCCACCGCCGTCCACTTTCTCCCTCGCCCACGCAAGGTCTTTCCACCCAAACACATCCCCAGCGCCGATGTACTGGGAACCGTGGCGAGGACAAGACCAGCTATAGCCACGATACCAGCACTTCTCTCGCCGTTCCCCCTGATACTCTATTCCACGCAGAAATCGCTTAAAAGTGGTTTTGTTTTTTTTCCGGGGGGAACGGCAGCCCCAGGGCCGGGCGGCCGTTCCAGAGAGGCGGGGAGCGGCCGGTCCCTGCTGCGGATATTTGGGGGGTCCTGCACCTTGCTCCAAGTGCCGGGGCCCGGGAGAAGGAAAGTTTCAGGGCCCACGCGTGCCTCCGCGGCATAGCTGCTGCCATCGGCCAGGCCTGCCCCGCCGTCCCCTCCCACTCGGGTTCCCCGGGCTGCCTTCGCGCGGGGCCGCGGCACCTCGGGGGCTGCCAGCAGGCTGCAGCCGGCCGGCACTGCCAGCACAACACACGGCTTTGTTTTCCGCCCCTCTGCTAAACTCGTTGTGTCTAACGGAGCCGGCGGAGCAGGGCGGCGGGAGGGGAGAGGGGGCGGGAAGGGGCAGCCGCCGCCAGCAAACAACTTCCCCGACGGTTTGTTTACATAGCAGGTGGAGCTGCCGTCCGCCGCGACCCACAGCGCCCGCTCCGCCGGGGACCGGCCGGGGGAGGCGCGGGCGGAGCGGGGCACGGCCCGGCGCATCCCGTCGCACTTTTTTTTGTTGCCATTCCCCCTCCGCTGCTTTCCCCCCCACCCCTCCCCGCGTTATTAGCACTTCTGTGCAGGCCACTCTGCGATCATGTGAGGGAGGGCTCCCTTCGCACTCCCCTCTCTCCAAAGCAGCCGGTGTGTGCGGCGGGGTTTTTTTTTTTTTTTTTTTTTTTTTTTCCCCCCTTCTTTTTTTTTTTTTTTTCGCATTCCCAACAAAACACATACACACAGGCGGCACACTCCGCACACGGGCGGACCCGCACGCCGGGGGAGGGAGAGCAGCACCGCCAGCGCCAGGCAACACCAGCCGGCGGGAGGGCGCGAGGCTCCGACGCCGCTCCGCGCCCGCGGAGGGCCCCGCGCCGCCCCCGCTCCCCCGGCCCGCGTGGCGGCTCCGCCCGCAGGGACTCTCTATGTGCGCGCGGCTGCGCGCGGCTCCGCTCGCCCTTTCTCTCTCGGTGTCAGCTCGCCGGGACGCCCTACACGGTGTCTCCTCCCGGTAAGTGCTACCCCCCCACCCCGCCCCGCACACCCGTCCCCTCCTCCCTGCGCTCCCCGGTGTGACTTGCTACTTCCAGCGCTTCCACCCCCCTCCGCCGCCGCTCACTGACTTGCCGCCGCTGCCGCGGGAAAGTTTGGCCGCGGCCGGCGCGGCCGCAGCAGTGACATGTGTCAGGTCTCCCGGCACCCGGTGGCACCGCTCCCAAACACGCACCGCCAGCGGGGGGCGGGGGCGCGCTCTGCGGTGGGAGCCTGCGGTGCCCCAGCTGGAGTTGGGGCCGTGCCCGGCGGGCCGGGCCGGGTCGGCCGCGGGAGCCAGCGTAAGCTCCCCCAACACAACTCGCGGCCGCTGCGGGTCGGCAGGGCCTCCCTCCCGCCGCTCAGCGCCGCGGACCCCCACCCCCGCGTAATTAAAAACAAACAACCTGTAGCCTCCCCGCACGGGTAGAGAAGTGCCAGGCGGGGAGGGCTTCGGGCCAGGCTGCTGAGGAAGCGTGTGAGGGAAGCTCGGCTACCCGCCCTTTGCCTCCCCGTTTGTGTGGTGGTGTGTTGGGGTTTTTTTTCCTTTTTTTTTTTTCTTCTTCTTTTTCCCCGAGACCTCCCCAGCAGACAGCCCGGGTGAAGAAACGTGTCACGTTTCTCCTTTGTGTGCTGCCTGCCCGCCTGCCCGCCGGAGGGAGAGGCGCACCCCAGCCCCCGCCTCTCCGCCCGCCCGCGCGGAGGGGCCGCTGCCGGCCGCCCCCTCGGGGCGCCCCGCGCCGCGCTGCCCCGGGGCGCCCCCGCTGGCGTGGGAGGGGAAGCGCAGGGGTGCCCGGGGGGTAGCGCTGACCCCGGGCGCTGTTTGGGCTGCGCAGGGAACAGGGTCGTCCCCTGGCCCAAGACAGAATTGCCTAAACCCAACAATTAATAAATAATGGTGTTGGAGCTGCGGGGTTCCGGAGGCGGCCTCCGTGCCTGGTACGTAGGGGCCTTCCCTTAAAATTGGCTTTGAAGTTGAGGAGGGCTTCAGGAGTTGGAAAGTTTGGGAAGCGCGATAGATTACGAGGAGAGGAGAGCGGCCGCGGCGGCCTTGGCTGTGGAGCGGGCTGCACTCCGCCGTGCCATCGGGCGTGCCAGGGCAGCCGTAGGACGGAGGGCTGGAGCCGGCGCCGCCGCTCCGCGCTCTGCCGCGCCGAGCGCGGGTGCGCAGGCGGCAGCGCTCTTGGCCTCCCGTGACCTGCCGAAAAGCCCCGTGCCGCCGGCGGAGCCTGCACGGCCAAGGTAAAGGCAGTCCGTGAGGCGGTTTTGTTCTTTTCCCGTAGTTCGGCTCGCGTCAGGTTCATCAGGCAGCGGGCCCGTGTCGCAGCGCAGCCCCCGGCCGAGAACGCTGGCGAGCGCTGGTAAGGTCCCGGGATGGAGCTACTGGAGAGGCGTAAAGCTTAGGCTATGGGCTGGCAGGAATAACGCTCATCTAAAATTTGCGAGAATTGTCCAGATAGAAAGTGGGCTGCTGTTATATTCTCCAGGGAGAAATAATTTCAAAAGTATCCACCGTGAATCTGTGGTCTTGTCCTCTGTTATTAAAAGAGTGCAGAGCTGCAGATGGAGGAATGGGCAGTACCCTCTACCTGGGAATCGCTTATACTTTAGGAAGTCTTGCCTGTGTGCATTCACACCCAGAGAAACACAGAAGTTCCTCTTCGAAAGAGGATCTTCCCTGGTCTTTTCTGTGCATTAGAGCCCCTGTCCAACTCAACTCTTGAGAGTGGGAATCTTTCCTTTGACAGCAGTATAGGAATCGTTCCATTGACTTCACAGGCTCCGATCGGGCCCTTGGAAATTTTTTTACAAAGGTGGGACTCAGAAGTTGTGCATGGTGTCTGTATCCCCCCCCATTAATCCGTGTGTGTGGGGAGAAAGAAGTCAAAGTTTTAAGATATTTTGACAGTTTTAAATTTTTTCTCTTCTGTGTGCTAAGTAATTTAAAGCCATTAAGGAAAAACATTACTGCTACTAATATTACTCTAAAGAAAATATGATTAATTATTAAATTGGTTTCTCTAATGCTGCACTAAACCCTTTAAAGTGGGATATGGTTTTAATCATTCAAATTAGTATTTTCTAAAGTTTTTTCTTGATGATGATAATTTGTTCATGTAAATGTAGATACTCAAAATACCCCTGTTTTGTAGTAATCTGCAGTTTTAATGTAGTTCTCACAAAACGGTTTTGTTCTGTAGCATTTTTACGTGCTTAAATCATTCATTTAATTACTCAGGATGGTAGATCAGTAAAAGGTTAAGGGAAAGGAAAGAGTATTTCAAATATAGCATTTCCAAAATGCATGTAGTTAGACATCCTAATTTATTTTGATAATATGTAACACCTGAAATACACTGCTTCATGTGAGGCCTTGTTGGTGTAGGCTTTAAGGTTTCACAGTAACCTTAGGAGGAAGCTTACGCAGAATCAATTGTATAAATATTTGTGTATTTCTTTGTTTTTAGTTTAACCTCAGCGATTTTTACATTCTGTCATGGGGTCTTTGCTACAGTGCAGTGTTTATATCTGAGAGAGGAAGAAAGCTAAATGTTTTGTAGCTTTCTGTTTAGTGAAGATTTACGTAAAATGGCCAAATAATCTCTAAGAAACAACCAAATTAGAGTGGGTTTGAGTGTGAGGAAGAGTAAAAGAAATATATCAAGTTCAGGACATTTCAATCAGTAAATACATGGTACTCTTTTAAAACAGCACTAGGGTTTGTGCAGTAGTCAGGTGAATATTTCACAGATTTTTGAAGTGACCTTGTTTATTTGGTGGTGTTTGACTTTTTTGGTTGCATTTTTTTTCTATAATCATCTGTTGCTTATACATATTTTAATACTTTCCATAATAGAATGTGTTGGGACTATCATTTTAAGAATAAAGATGTATTTATTTGGAAACATTCCTGTCAGACTCCATTATTATTTTTTTAAAGTTCTTGTTGGACTTAATTATTTTTTTTATTACTGTAAAATAAGATTTATTTTTTAAAGGACTAATTTATGTGAGCTGGAATAAGCTTTTTGTATTCTGAGAAATATATCTGATTCAGCATTGCATGCACAGGAGTTATTCGAGGCTAGTGGGCTGAAAACAATAGAAAACTTCTGAGATGTGATCCATGTTGTGGCAGTGTTTTGCTATGTGTCATTGAAAATGTCACTTAACCTCTTTGTTTTTCATCATTGGTATATGAGGGCTGGTATTTATCTTTCTGATAGAGGGGTTAATTAATATTTCTTGAACATGGAGTACTTTTTTGTTCCATTTCAATTTCTACCTGGTTTATTTTGGAGAAATTAAATTGTGATGGTTGCTGAAAATGAATGGTTCCTAGGAGTCATGTTTTTTCTTTGCTGGTCGTATTGTGAAGAGGTCACTTGCTCATATGAAATGAGAGCGATTTAGGACATAGGTCATTAAAAGGTACCCAGTGAATGATTTTGACTGGAGAAAAATGCAAATCACAATCAAAATTAAAAATGCTATCAACTTTGTTATAAAATAATAATTTTCTGTACATTGGAACTGATTATTCTTTACAATTTTGTGACAGCTAATAGGTCTAGAAGCCATGCAAATTGTCTGTTTTTTTTCACAGCCACTGTAGCATACTTCTCAGCTAATCCTTGTTGGAAGAAATACTTGTCATTTAGATTCCTATTCCCTGCCCTGTTTTGATTTGATACCTTTCTTGATTGTATGTGTAAAATAGCGGCACCACGAAAACCTCATAGAAGCGATGAAATTGTAGAAAATCTTAGCTGTAATAAACTAACCTTATAAAACTAATATTAAAATTGCAATAAAGTAGTTCCTTGTTAGTTGTTTGAAGGCTTTCTTCCACATTTGTTGCTTTACAGAATAAGCATACTTACTGTAATAATTGCCAAGAGTAGCTTTAGACTTAAATTTCAAAACTTCTAGACCAGCATAAAGACAAGGAGCAGTCTCACAAGTATTATTTAGCACTGATCATCTTTTTTTTCTTCTTTCTGAGGCTTTCAGTAGCTTAATCAAACTTATCGCTTTTAAAAATCTTCCAAAATGTTCACTGCAAATGATAAGAGGCATCTATTATTTGTTGCAAGATTTGCATTTGTTTTTGTTTTCTGTTTAGGTTTTTGGTTTTTTTCAGTCCCTTTTCTGATAGGTTTGTGTTAAAGGGCAACACCATCTTTTATGTCAGAAAGGTGGTTTTGAAAGTGCCAGCAATAGCTTGCTTATGCTGTCATCTACTGAAGTAGCTGAAAATAATCTCTTTAATGAACAATTGCTATGATTTTTGTTGCTTCATCAATGTATAGTTTGGGATGGTGTTACAAAGTAACATTTGACCTCTGAGGAATGAATTTGTGTAGAATTATGTTTAATATCACAATTTCAGTTCCTATTCTGAGAAAAATAAAGTTGAAATACTAAGTACACTGCTTTAAGGTTTTTACTGTCTAAGTCTTTTTAGTAAGTTGTAGAGGTTGCTGAGAGGAGGGAATAACATTGTAGGTTTAACTTTTTGTTCATTTACTTAGTTATTTCTTTTTCCTGCTCATAATAATTACACACATTGGAAATGGGTTTGCTGCAGTTTGTTTCTTACTTGACTATTTGCATTAATCAGGCTTGTTGCTGAGGACAGAGCCGATTCCCTTGGATGTGGTGTACTGCACCTTCTGTGTGCCCAGAGTGTGGCTGTCTCTTCTGCTGGGTGGCAGAGAGCTTTAGGTAGGTAACAGATTACTGTCTAATTGGTTAGGCTGAGGAACAACAAACAGGTTTAAAGGACAGGCAGCGCCTTCATTCAACGTGCAGAAGGGAGATTTCTGCCCTGCCCACTCCATGCGCCCCCCTTGCGGTGCTGTGTGATGTCCGTTCTGTGGTGAAAGGACAAACTACAGACCTCCATCATGCAACCCTCTGGGTCGCAAAGAACCCTCTTTGAAATTCACAGACTGCCTTTGGCTTACCTGTAGAACT